AGAATGTACCAGTACATTGAGCACATCATGTGTGAGAACTGCTGGTAAGGCAATTCACATTTTTTGCAGGATAGAAATTGTATGAAAAGCATAGGTGAGATAAATACCCAAACTTGTAACATCAAATGTGGGATTGGGGTGAAGATCTCTGCCTAAACATCAGGGTCTTGACATCAATCCTTGATAGGACTAACCATTCAATAGACTCAAATTAGTCAAAGCAGTTAGTTTAGTTTAATCTGAATGGTACTAACAAGGGAACTGTCAGAATGTCTTTTAATAAATATTAATAAAATTTAGTTAATAATTATGTTAAAATTACACAAACACTATATTAAATTTGTGATATTCACTAAAAGTGTTAATCAGGGTTAATAGCAATCAAATGTCACACTATTTTATATTAGTTTAACACAAATATGCAAATTTTTAGTAGTGAAAGGTCGCGGAGGAAGACGCCGATATTACATTTACAGAGTAGAATAAGGAATAAACTCAAATAGATGTTATATGAAAGATTAGATTGCGGCAGTTGGCAACACAGCATTTAACCACCATCCCACCTATGTGACATCAGACCGTGGCTAACTCCACTTTTTGGGTCGACATAATTCTGTTCGGTCGCTCACCTCACCGTGCACTCAGACAACTGTTTCCACAGTCGATGTAATTGTAACTCTTGTATATAGTTCTGTAAAATTGGGATCATTCATTCAACATGACGACAACACTATTCGTAGATGTAATAGGATCGATCGACATAATCAATTTCCTTCTCAAGAGGTATGCCTATGTCGATCGATCCTATTGCATCTACGAATAGTGTCGTCGTCGTCGTCATGTTGAATGAATGATCCCAATTTTACAGAACTATATACAAGAGCTACAATTACATTGACTGTGGAAACAGTTGTCCGAGTGCACGGTGAGGTGAGCGACCGAACAGAATTATGTCGACCCAAAAAGTGGAGTTAGCCAAGGTCTGATGTCACATAGGTGGGATGGTGGTCAAATGCTGTGTTGCCAACTGCCGCAATCTAATCTTTCATATAACATCTATTTGAGTTTATTCCTTATTCTACTCTGTAAATGTAATATCGGCGTCTTCCTCCGCAACCTTTCACTACTAAAAATGTGCACATTTGTGTTAAACTAATATAAAATAGTGTGAAATTTGATTGCTATTAACCCTGATTTAACACTTTTAGTGAATATTACAAATTTAATATAGAGTTTATGTACTTTTAACGTAATTATTAACTAAATTTTATTAATATTTATTAAAAGACTTTCCGACAATTTCCTTGTAAGAGGGATATTAATTTGTAGGAACAAAAATGGAAGTAGGGTTAAATCAATTTATAAAACAATTAAATATATTTTATTTACACATTAATATAGAAAAGGATTACAATTAACATAATATTCCAATAATATATATCAAACCAATATTTGACTAAATGAGATTACAAGGAATTGATTTTTCAACCATTTAAATTATCTTAATGCGAACTACAAAATGTTTTGAGAGATTTTACAATGAAACATATACGTTACCTCTCCTTGTAATGATGGACATGATGAGAGAGAGAATCTTTTTCTTTCAAGGGGAGGACTTCTCCTATCGTTTTTTCATGATGGGATCAATGCACCAAAAATAAGGTGGGAACGAAATAGGTTGGCTCTTAATCAATTGGCTACACAGCCTGTGGCTATAAGCATGGCTGTACATGACTAAAAGTGCAGTAAAGAGGTGGTCTTCAGCTTTTTATACAGAATCAGTGGACCAATGAGGATTGTCCATGATTCCTTTCGGATTTTGTTCCTAAAGGATTAATCAAACTTATCACCTTTTTAAATATTCCTGCAAATAATTTAATATCGTTTAACTGATGAAGATCATTAAAGACGTTCGAAAACGTTTTTACGATATTAAATTATTTGCTAGAATATTTAAAAAGATGATAATTTTGATTAATACTTTCTAGTTCCAGTCCAAGTTAATATTTTTATTGTTTCTAAAGGAACTATAAAATGTTACTTTCACTTCTAAAGGAACAATGTCACTTCTCTAATGATTCAGAGGAAGTGTAAAGATGACAAAAAAGATAAACTTTCCATTTTTTACAGCTTTAAAAAATATTTTAAAATATTGACTAAAAATCACTTTAAAAGTATTGAAATGGTCCCTATCAAACTCCCAGTTTTCACACATGTAACATGCATAACTTTGTAACCATTTGAGGTAGGTCAATAAAATCTTTCAGCAATTCTTTGTGAAATTCTGACCCTAAATGATGTGTCACATGACTCCCTTCCCATTTACAGTTGCAAAGTTGCATTCAATATGGCTGCCATTAAGATGGCAACTGTGCATGTAACACACAACCATCTGTTTCTCTCTTGGTCTAATGTGTTCCTGACATGAGCAAATTAACTTTAGGTACATTCTATATTCTGTAGCAGGATAAGTGACTTTCTTTTCCACCCTACATATCAACTTTTTTACTAGGAATTGAATAATTGATCACTGCATGGAAGTTAAAAGAATGATCTCTTGCCCAATTGTCATCAAAAGGCACAACAATAAATTATAAAATAGTAAATGTAAGGGCAATGACATGACTTAAAGAAAGATTACTAGAATTAAATGAATGCTAGCCACTTAAGTATGTAAATAGGGTCAAGTGGGCATATAATCATGTAACATCACCACAACCACACTATAAGAAGGTAAAGCTCAGATCAAATGAGGTGATGCTAAGGATTGAGCAAGGTTAAAGCAAGAATTTCAAGTTTCATTGATGACATAGAAGTTTTTTAGTGATGGTTAGGTCAGGGGTTGGCAGTTTGTCAAGTGAGAAGAGCCAAATTGTCATGGAAACAGTATAACAAAAGTACCAGAGAGCTGCATATATAACGCGCACCAGGGAGACACCCCTTAGTGCACGTTACAGGCATTCCGTGACAATAATAAATTCCTATTACAAATATACTGAATTATTTATATTGTTATTGGCTATTGGCCAAATAAATAATAATAATTTATACTGTTAATTTGAATGTGCGAAATACGACACACGACAGGGGTGCCTCTAGTGGCTGATTTTGGCATAACATTACACGGATGGACATGCGTTCAATGGGTTATGTATATATAGATATGCTTCAAATGTTGCCACTCGCATGTGACTCATATTGATCAATGCGAGTGTGGTCATGTGCGGACGGGCTAAAGAGTGGTAAAGAATATGCCGTACGAGTCGAAGTTTGTTCGGCGGCTCTATCTCATAAATTCATAAGTTATAAGGCTGCAGTGAAATGAGGTGAAGTGAAATTGGAGTTTATGTTCGAAGAGCCGCAAACATCTATGCAAAGAGCCGCTAATTCCGTTAGGGTTAGGTGGATAAATTAAATTCACCTAACCATCACTAAGAAACTTCTGTGTCATCAATGAAACTTGAAAGCCTTGCTTTGCTAAAAGCCTTTGCCTTTGTAAGATTTATTTTTGAATTTTTAAGATTTCCATTTAAAAAATGTTTTTATTATATTTTGAACTTTTGCTAACTTTATTTCAATTATTGTACATATTCAGGCTAGAAGAATAAATTGATTTTTTGTTATTACATATAGTAATCATTTCAGGTTATTGATTCATTAACAGTTTTTGTTACTTATTGCTTGCATAAAGTCCAAGCCTGGCACTAACTGAACCCTCGTTTATGTAACCTATCCAGACTCTCAATAGAAATAGATAAGGTGTTACAATTATTTATTATAAACTTTGTATAAAGTTGAATTAGTTTTTATGAATAAAGGGTTTATTCTTATTTATAAAGTTAATTTATGGATATTTTCTCTTCTGTCAATATAGCTATTAACTTGACTATATTATTCACACCACATGGTGTGATAAGTTTTCATTAAAAGCCAATTGGTAGCTATATTATGATGTTTCTAGGGGTTTTTAGATTCAAACCTACTCCCGTGACACCAATTTGTGAGCCACTGGGGGGTAAGAGGAGTCCGCTCCTTCCGGCCACAGGTCGGTGACCTACTTTCTTGTCAAGGATGGCGTTTCGTTCAGTTACGTGTTACGCGAGTGGAGGAGAGTCGGAGGGGTCGACGATAAGACGTTGGCAAAGTCGAGTAACGACACCATTTAAAACAAAACAACGGTTTATTTTACTAGCTAACTAAATAAAAATTTTACAAAACTTCATAGACTTCGCGGATGAGAGAGAGAGTTTACAATAACAAGCGTTCATACCTCTTGGCATATACTAGTGGGATATTTTCCCGTAATGTCGTCCTTTATGGATTCTGAGCGGTGACACAAGTATAGGTCGGCGACGAAAGAGTAGGGCTGCGATGGAGAAGGCGATGTCTGACTTCGACGTTTGGCGATTCTCCCGATGAGGGGAAGGTGTCGGGCTTTTATACCTTTTTCGGTGGGAAAATTAGTCAAGTGATCAATTGTTTTAGCAGGTGTGGGATTAAAGGTGGTGATCGAATGACAACAATATGACGAATTTTGCCTATAAGTGTAAACAATACATAGTTTGATCGTGAGAATGTTTATAATTAAACAGAAAGAGTTAGAAATTTCTCATGCACTTTATATTTCGTTTTTGTAGGTCCAAATTCGTTTAGTTAAAGGAATTTTTATTTAAATTTATTAAAATTTTAAAGGGTTACTTTCTTTTATGAAATTATATGCACTTCAAATTTCACATATTGATAGAAGAGAAAATATAATAATTAAAGGACATAAAACATTTTATTACTTTATGGATATAAGTAATTGTTATCTATAGCAAACAATTAACCACATTCAAAAATGATCTATATAAGAAAGTAATAGATGGAATTATTATCTGAATATCATTTAAAGTTGTACAATAATCTTTTTAAGAATTTACTTTAAGAGAAATTTTAAATAATACATATTTTGCTTCTCAGTTTCAAAATATTTATCAAAACCATATTTTGAATATTAGATATCTCAGGAAAAGTACTGCCTCGTTTTTTGGAATAGATAATGAAACAGAGCAAGATAGTTATCAACGATGGACAGAGAGAAGGAGGCGACTACTAAGCAAGAAATATGGGCAATTGAAAAAGGTAAATTGCTGATACTTTGAAATTATTTTTTTATTTTAATAAACATTAACTGATAACATATATGCAGATACCATTACTGATCTGGTTAAATAAAGTTTAGATAACTAATTTGTCAATGGAATGTAAAAAGACTAGAAAATATAAACTGATATTTTATATTTCAGTTTTAGTGGAAAATATTATTTAAGGAAACAAGTGTAAATATTTTTTCATTAACTTGTTATTTTTTTTTTTTTGGCACTTTAATTATATTTAGTATATAAAGAAGAAAGTTTATTAGTTGTTTCTTAATTTGCTCTTCATTCATTCAGATAGTTTCAGCAAATGTCATGAAACTTATGTATCATCTTCTCATTCAAGTAAAGGTGAACAACTAAACTTTTTGATTGAATAAACTAATCCCAAAAACAACTCACAACAGACTCTTTTCTATCTGATAGGCAAGATTATATTTGAATACATCTTAGTTGAAATTTGAAAATTGAATACATAGTTATTTAAAAAATTTTTGTATCTGTTATGTTTTTCTTTTGTATTTGTTTTTATTTATAATATATTATTGCGCTCCTGCAATGCAAACTTCTTACACAATAAACATTTTAAATTTAACTTGTTGTTAGATTTGCATTCTACCAGTAGAACCTGAGGATGGCCTTTTTAAAGGTTGAAAACAACAGGGTTTTCAATAAATGTTTTTGTTCTTTTAACTGGATATTGAGTTTGGAAGTGTTCTGAAATAACTTAATGTGTTAGTTTTGCTTTTCAGACTCCAAACTGATAAGGTTACTAGCACCTGCATTAATTAGTAAGTAAAATTGGTGGTATATTAAATAATTTGAAGTGGCAAAAAAATTAAAAAGTGGCGAAATGATTGGCTATTTTTTTAAAAAATTTTCCAAGGCAATTCTTGAAACCAATTTATCAGCTTTCCTAACAATTATCAATCAAAATCTATATGTATTCAGCTTACATTTAGAACAAGAAATTTTCAAATCTATTCACTTAGATATTCAATTAATGGTCCTCTAGAATGGCTTCTGCACCAAAGTATATAAGAAAATGGGTTACAAACCTCTCTTCATCCGTAAAGAATCCTGAGACCCTTTCACATGTAAGATAGCTACATTCAGGGCCCTAATTAAGAGAGCCTTCCACACACTTCTGATCCTATGAACAGAAGAAAGGATGTAAGTATATCTCTCAAGAGGCTGTAGATCATGGATACCATCCAAATCTTATAAAATTTCTAATTGACAGTTTCCAATTGTCCACTGACAAGTGATAATACTGAACATCCAATATATAAAGTGGTCCATTTTAACCATCACCTATGTAATCTTTACAAACAGATTGCTAAGCACAAGGATATTAATTTGGCACACAAATGGAATCTTATTCACTATTTATTCATTATTAAGGAATTCAAAGGATTCAATAAATTACAATACACTTCTTGGGATCTATTCTATCCCCCTTAAAGACGAATGGTTTAACAAAAACCTAGTTTACTTCAGAGCCACTAAAAGATTGTTGGAGAAATGGATTAAGGAGCATATATACTCTATTGAAAAGGACCTATCTTTTATCACCTTGAGTTCTTACATAAGTGAAAACATCAATGTAGCCTAAGATCAAGCTCACATTGTACTGTACATCCCAGATCTCATTAGTCCAAATTAAAACACCTACAAAAGTTGAAAATTTTCAAGACATCTTTTAAAGAAATTGATAATGTGATTAATTATAGGGAGCAGAAACTTTCTTCAATGCATGGAGATCTTTATTTTATTGTCTCATAAACCTCCTTTGACATTATCAATCAAGTACAGAGGCAATCAGGTGCCTGTGCATTGGGGCACATGAGTGCATGCTACTCCTTTGTTGTCAGGCTGCCCTTTTCTTAATCCCTAAGGGAGCTCGAAGGCTTCACTTTATTTTTAAATTAGTTACTTATCAGAGAAAATTTTTTACTGATGACAAAATTAAAATAAAAATATTTGTTATTAACTGAAAACAAATGTTGTAGCAGGTTGTGATTATTTGATCGATTACTGAGTTGCCACTGTATTTGATTAATGCAATTTTGATATACGCAATAGCATTGAGGGATTGATTAACTGTGTTAATCAAGGGTTACCAGTATATATATATTGCATATTTTATGTAATGTACAGTACATATGATGCCATTTTTTTTGTAGCTTGTGCTCCCCCTTTTTATAGTCTACAGGTCTACTGCAACCAACAATATCTCACTATTTGGCTTTCTTGAACTCCATGCTATATTCAATCAATGTTTCAAACTCAATTTTCTCTCCTGAATTACTTATCGACCTGAAGATGACAACTTAAGTTCGTCAAAAATGTTTGTTTTTATTAAATCAATATTATACTGCTGGATTTTCTGGTTTGGTGAATGTTTTTAATAGTAATATTAACCCAGTTCTCTGTCATTACTACAAGAAGAAGTAAAAACATTCTTTTTATGGAAAATTTTCATGATAAAGAAAATGAATCTGAATTTTTACTAAATTTAGTGATGGCATACACCATAAACCACAAGTATTAAATAATGTGAAACTTTTAAATTGAGTTTTAAAACACACAGAAAGTTGTGAAAAATACTTAATTATTCTTTAAGTACTTTTGCTTGTGTCAGTGTCAGTTTCTTTGGAAACATACATAATAGAACAAATCTTTTTAAAAATTTAGAGAAACTTTCTTCTTACAATGGTAATGGATTGCAATAATAGGAAATTAATTAATATGAGACTAAGTATCTGATTATTAGTTAAATATAAATAAAAATGAATAATAATGATGCAAATGATAAAATTTGTAAGTGATACATGTGTAAATGTTGTGGAGAATAATTGTAAAAGTATGAAGGAGGAAGTATGAGGTGATGGGTGGCTTGGTCCCACCCAGTGTAAACAGAGCTTTCAGATGTGCAGCCAATGTTCTGGAAAGATTAAGGTGGGAGCATTGACCACTTACTGCTTGTAAATAAACAGAACTCCCAGAAAAAATTTTATCCTCATCACTACTGGATAATAGACATTGCACATCATCTCAGGGAGGCATATAGTAGTGCTTGAGAAGTGTAAGCATAGCAAGCTTGTTAAGAACTTATTGTTGGTGATGGATATTTTATATTATTTCCAACTTTCTCAGCAGAGACAAACACATCAAATACCACCTAATGTTTGCTGAGAAAAAATTTATTTATTACACTGTTTTCAACCTCTTTTTAGTATAGGTCATCCTCATGTTTTAGAATACAATTAGGATATTATATATTCCTTCAAATGCATCCCGAGCAGTCTAGTAGTGTGTTAGATTGTTTGAATGGTGCTGAAAATGAACTGTATAAACCCTGGATTTTTTATGTTTAAGGAGGCAATCTTGATTGTTGGAAAGGATATGATGCAGTGAGGGGGTTGGGGACACGGGAAAACAATAAAACAAGTTGAAAGAGAAAAATAATGTGGAAAGTTTTAAAGAAATGTTACTTTGTAGAATAGAAACCTTGGTAAACAGTTTTCTGGAATTGAGGCCAAAAATTCTTCATGGAAACCTTACGAGGCAAAAAGTATGTTATTAACATATCTAAGGTAAAGTAAGAGATAAGATGTCGTGAGAGAGGAGTTAAAGATGAAATCCTCAATTCTTCACATGTGGCTAAAAATGTGGATAGCGGTTACTTCATGGAGACATCTTGATAAATTTTTTTAAGAACTTAAGATTTGAAAACTTAGAAAAGATTTAAGAACTTACTAAATAAAAAATAATTGTTGTAAACAATGATACCTAAGATTTTCCGATAAGCAGTATAAAGTTAATAGGAAAACCCAGGTTAATAAATAATGTTTCAGTTAAAAAAATAGCCTGGAAAGTTGGGACAAAGAGGGTAAAGGAAAATATTATAGAGGACTGTTGCATATTTATTTATTTCATCATAAAGTTAACTTATTATATGAAGATATTTTTGATCTATAATTAATTTTGAATTAAGACTAAATATTTGTTTTTGCAGTGGTCAGTATCTTTTTAATATAATATTGTGATGATAATATAAATAATAAAATTTTTTATCATGAATAGATGATAAATCTTTTATTTCGGTAATATAAAATTTTGGAATTTTTATTCTAGGATCACTATTTGCAGTCTTCAGATGAACACATCGGTCCTACAGAGCTACCTCACTTAGCATCTTATCCTGCACGAGATTCTTTTATGGAACCATCAGAAACAAGATTAGGTACTTGCAGAACAGATGCTGTTGATAATGTTGATGGTGTTTCAAATCATAGTCAGTCTTATCATTGGCAACATCAACAGAAGGAACCTGTGTATAAAATGATGTGGGATGGTATAAATTTTATAGCCACAGTGAGTATATTTTTAATTAACTCCAAATTTTGTATATTATAATGTGTGACACTCATTGCTGTAGACGTGCCAAAGCCAGAGGTGCAGTATATTTTCAGGACTCAAAATTCTCAGAAAATTATTGCACACATATTTTGATGTTAATATTTTTATTTTATAATAAATCTGAAAAAAAATATGAAAAATAAAGAAAAATAATGTTTTTATATTTAGCTATTTAATTGAGACAATTCAGAAAAAGTTTTTAAACATTGTTTATTAATTTGCAAATTATCCATATGGGGAATGAGTGAATATTTCATTTTAATTCAAGCTGACATTTTGTTCATTAAAAGTATCAGAGTTTTTAAATAAAATCCAGTTTTCTGTTTTGGTTCTTTTTTAAAGCTCTTGGATTTTCAGTTTTGGTTTTTAGTAAAAATCAAAAGCATGATTCTGTAACTGAGACTGACTTGTCCTTACTGCAGGGGGCATAACTGTGTAAAACTGCAATGATGTAACAAGTGACTGAACTGTTCATAAACAAAATAAACATTTAAATTTCATTTTTTAAAGCACAAGATTTTGGTAAATTTTTTCAATTTATGTCTATAGGCTATACTTCTAATCCTTATATTATAATACACTGAAATCTCACTTAATGAGCACCTTGCATAACAGGTATTTTGCATAACAAGCAAAACAAATTGTAAAAATTTGCCTTGCTTAACGAGTGATGTTTTGCATAACTAATGACAAGAAGGAAAACCCCGAATTGTGCGCATGCTCCATCAGTCTGTGTTTAGCACTCATTCTGCTAGCATCTTAGTGTCGAAATTAATTAATTTGACTAGAGGTAGGCAGTTATGCTGCCATCTCGTATTAAATTTAATGACCAATTCCAAATTAAATTTTAGAAATATGTGAATTAAAAATTAACTATTTATAATTATTAAATTTAATACAAGATGAAAGCATAACTGTCTACCTCTAGTCAAATTAATTAATTTCTTTTATTTAATTATAGCCTTTACATAGCCAAGAATTTGGCATATCATTAGGAGTGTTTATTGAACATATTATCTGTGATTTTTTTTTTTTTTCATTTTCTGCAAATCAAATTCTCATTCTAGGTTGGTTTGTTCCATGCTAGAAGAAAAAATGATGATGACTTATGCTGCTTATGCACATTGTACAATTTTTTTTGATTAAAGGTTATACATAAAATATTTGAGTATTTTTTTCGGTGTGGAATGCATTATCGTATTTTACATTAATTTCTATGGGGGAAAATTGTTTCACTTAACGAGTGTTTCGCATTACGAATACGATTCTGGAACGAATTATGCTCATTAAGCGAGGTTCCACTGTATAGTATTTGATTTATATAACTATAAATGTTATCTTATGTAAGGGTTTATCAAACCAAGTGTCCAATTTAGCACATTTTAAAAATTCTTTAAATTGTGTACAATAGAGGAATAAAATTTTTTAAATGTGTTAGATTGATCACTTGGTGTGATAAACCCTTAAGTAAGATAACAATTATAGTTATATAAATCAAATACTATAATATAGGGTAGACCACAGAAAAGTAGCCCACCAGTAGACATAATGAGCAAGTTGGACTGCTTGTCTAAAGCTTTATTGACTTATCCACATGTTACAACAGATGCTGAAAGTTGCACACACCCTTCCACTATCGTTATTCACTGTTGTAGGGAAAACACCATCTTTTTGACACGACAAGCACAGAAGGACTGGAACCAGCTGATTAAAAAGGGAAATTAACATTGTGACTTTGCACATGGGGTGACACATCGCCAAGTGGATGATTGGCAGACAGAGTGGAAGGGGATTCACCTCCTCCAATTCAAAGTGAGGTGCCTGCTGGATATAGGAGACAGGCTACTTTTCCATGGACCACCCTGTATAAGAAATGTAAAGATGAAAACCATATGAGGAGTTTGGTTATTTTAGCTTACCATTGTCATGTTTATTGTGATACTTGGATGGTACAAAATTGCACAATTTCATTGATCAAGTAGACATTAATTGAAAATACAATATCTTAAAAAATTTAAGCTATCATATATTTTTTCCTACTGTTAGCATAACAAACTGTTTCATTCACAGCCAAATATCAAATGATGATATGCCAATGAATCAAATTTCGCAAAAAATGTATAAAAAATATTTAAACTTGGCACCCTCGAAAAACCACTGAAAACATATTTAGTGCAGGGTGGTAACCTCGTATTATGTAATTTTCCTATTCGAATGCCACTAATGAGTTTATTGGGAAATTAATTCAATCAAAAGTACTAGTTGTCCTCCTTCTGGAAGAGAGGATGTTCAACAACTACTACTTAATACTGGTGTACTATTAATACTTGAAAAGTAATCTGTGTTAGATAGGTTGTGATGACCTCGCATGTGATCAAAGTTGCTAACCTTAACATCCAAAAGACTTGATATAAGATTTGTTTAAATGAAAAAAATCATGTAAAAATGAGAGAATATTGGTTGGTTGGTTGAAAGAAAAAATATTATGAATAAGCTGATGTTACTGAAAAATATCGAGAGTAAGCTGTTACTTCAGTCTATAAGACTTATATGCATAGGTATGTTTTATATTTTTATGAATTCTACAAAACTTGTGTTTTTATATGTATGTTATATTCTGTTTTAATGTTTTAGTTGGCTGAAGAGGGGCTTAAGAGCCTGAAACGTGTGAAATTTTCACACGTATCAACTAAATAAAGATGAGAAAACTTGCCAAGTGTCTTAATTTATAGCACTTTATTGTGTTAGAAGCATAAACAAATTGTAAAGCACGGTTTCATATCATCAAAATGAGAGAATAATTTTTTTATGTGATCCTGTAAAAAAAATTCCAGGTTTTTGATGAAACCAGGTTGAAAAAGTAAAGCTCAGCGAAAACAGCTAAGTAAACGAAACTTTTGAAAATTGTGGCATAAGCACACCAGAAGTAGATTTGACAGTAAGACTCAACGTGTGAATAAAGAGCACAATACACATTGAACATTATTGGTGTTCAATGGTTTTATTCACTCAGTTACTGGAGGGTACTTATTGGGCTGCAATTTGAAAAAATGATAGACCTACAAATTCTCACTGTCATCAGTCTATCTGTCTTTTTTTAATCTCGAGAACTAAGTTAGATAGATGAAAGTCGAGACCAGACATGGAAATTGTAAGAGAAAGAGGACCTGATTAATTATATACTTACTTCCAATTTGTCCTGCAAGTCATGTTATTCCAATTCAAAAATTTTCCTCTGAATGGAGTTAGATACATAACCGGCATGACACTATTGCTAACAGGAAAAGTATGACGTACAGGGGCAAAACACTACTACACTCCACACAGCCAAGTGCTATGTGCTATCTGTCACAGTAATGGCATAATGGTGCAACTATTTTGCACTATAACATTGTTGCAGTAATTCAATGAATACAATAGTTTTTAAAATTAGATCCCTTTTTTTGCAATAATTATATTTATTTAATCATTTTGTTGACTTTTTGCCAGTAGATGGTGCCATGTGTAACTCAGAAAATCTAATGTAAATAAAAATTAATTGATTTTATAGAAATGCAATTGATATGGGATATTTGACATGATCTAAGTTAGAAGCATCTGAGTATAATGGCAGAGTTTCATAGCAATTGGTTGAATGGCATAGGCATGCATAGTGAATAAGCAAACAAACATCCTTATATATATATATATATAGATTATCCAAAAATACTAGCCAATCAATAACAATATTTTACCCAATGGGTAAAATAAAGTTGTTGATTAAAGATGTGATAATTCCTAGAAAATAACAGTGATTGAACTTATTTTCAAACTAGAAGGTAGAATTATTGAAATTTAAACAGTGGAATAGAAGCAGAAGGATAAATCATATATGTATAGGGTTGGCAACTAAGTGATTGCAGATTTTAAATAAGAAGGAAAATTCAAAATTTTTGCTTAAAAATATAACTTTATTCAATTAGGTATTGTCCATTTTTGTCAATGACCTCTTGCCATCTTTCAGGCAGTGTCATAATTTCATGTTCATAAAACTTCTGATTTTTGCCAGCAAAAAACTGAATTAAATGTTTTTACATCATCAGCATCATTAAAAATTTTACCATTTAAGGAGTTCTTCATGGAATGAAATAAATGGTAATTTGAAGGTGCAAGGTCAGGGCTATATGGTGGATGTGACAACACATCCCAACCTAGCTCCAATAATTTTTGGCGAGTGACCAAAGATGTGTGGGGCTTTGCATTATCATGCATTATCAGAATTGGCAAATCGTAACACCCTTACAATTTACCAATTCTGGCCGTTTTTCTTGAACTGCATCGCTTAGTTTGGCGAGTTGTTGAACGTATACATTTGAATTAATCGTTTGGTTTTTTGGTAAAGGTTCAAAGTACAGAATTCCTTTATAATCCCACCAAACTGACAGCATAATTTTTTTTGGTGAATCTCAGCTTTTGGTGTCATCTGGGCTGGTTCATCTTGCATCACCCACGATTTTTTCCGATTAACGTTGCTATAAACTATCCACTTTTCATCGCCAGTAACCAGTCGTTTCAGAAATGGATCAATCTCATTGCGTTTCAGAAGTGAATCACAGATGCTAATGCATTGAGTCAAATGAATTTCCTAAAGCTGATGAGGGACCCATAAATCCAGTTTTATTGACATAGCCAAGCTGTTTTAATTTTTTTTGAATGCATGTTATGTGATACATTGAGCTTCTGTGCAATCTCACGCGTTTTGCTATGACAATCTGAATCGATAATGGCCTTGATTTGGGTCTCATTAACTTCAACTGGACGGCCAGATCGTTGAGCATTTTTCAGTGAAAAATCATCAGAACGAAATTTGGCAAACCAATTTTGACACTGCCTTTCTTTCAAGGCTTCATTCCCATACATGGCACATAACTTCTTGTGTGCTTGTGATGTGTTTTTGCCTTTTCGGAAATAATACAATAAAATATGTCTGAAATGCACGTCTTGTTCTTCCATTTTTAAATTGGGATAAAAACGGAACTAAATAACTAATCGATACAATTTTTTTACTAAATTAAAGGTGGAAGTCCAAACAACAAGAAAACAATATAGGTTAAATGCTTTGAACATGATGACAAAGCAAAAAAATGTGCTAAGGCCACCTATTGACAAAATCCACAATCACTTAGTTGCCAACCCTATATTATACTGGAGTAGAAGAGAATTGTCATTTATTTTAGCATTATTTTAATAACAAAATGTAGATTAAAATTTTCTCTTATAATAATAATAATAATAATAAACTA